CCCCCCCCCCCCCCCCCCCCCCCCCCCCGCCACAGGAATCCTGTGCAGCCTTGGGGGCCTGCGTGGGCTTCTGGAGGAGTCCTGGCACTTTTGGGAAGGCAGGCGCCTGTGAGATGGTCTATTCTGGGGGCCGCAAACTTTCTTTTGCACGGAAACTTTCTGCAAAGGCAATCTTAGGCGGGTCCAATAAGCAAAAGTGAGCAGATCAAAATGAGCTCTTCTTGCGGGTGGGGGACCTGGACGCATTCCAGGGAAGACCTGGAGGCGCTGGGGCCTCCCAGTCAGCAGACTGCACCTGTGCACGCTGGGCATTTAGAAAGGGGTGTGTGTGTGTGTGTTGGGGCGGGGGGCGCTGCTTTCTCCCTCTGATCCCCTCCGGGATGGCAATGCTGGCTCCGACTGCAGCCCGCCCAAGGCCACGGCATTAGGCCCCAGACTGGGCTCAGCGCTCTGGGTTGCCTGCGAGCAGCAGCCCTGGCGCGCCCGCCACTCCCGGGGCTGGTGCCGGCACGTCCGCGTGCGCGCCCGCGCGCTCCAGCCCGGATCCCCGCGTCGGGTGAGTTCTCTGGCAGACGCGCCGGCCAGGGTGTCGAGAGGGACACCATTGCCAGGTCCGAGGACCTGGCCTTCTAGGGGACCCCGGGGATTAGAGTGGCAGGACCGGGGTGGCCTCCGGCCCCACCTGAGGCCTCGGTCACCCGGCAGGAGCAGGGACGCAGGGGCGTCAGGTCCAGGGCCAGGGGTGCGGGTGGGGGAGGCTGGGCACAGCCCGGACCCCAACCCGGTCCCCGACCCTGACCCCGACGCCGCCCAGGCTGAGGCCGGGAGCCAGAGTCCCCAGACACCTGCAGTCCTCACCCTTCTGCTTCTGTTCCAACCACCAGGGTGCCCCCCTCCCCCCCAGATTAGGGACCCGGAATTTGGGAAACAGCATTCTCAAGGCGCTCCTTATCCACGGGGAGGGAAAGATCTCGGTCCAGAACCGTCGCAGTGGTTTCCGCAAGGTCCCCCACCTTCAGGCAGGACGCTGCGCCCCCATTTCCAGGACTGGTCCTTGGACACCGGGAGGCACCAAGGAGGGCCTGGCCAGGTGAGCGGCGTGGAGGCGGCTGTAGGACACGCTCCTGGGGCAGAGGGCCCAGAAAGGGCCTCGTTTGGGGAGGAGCCTGCAGCAGCCCTCCCGAGGGGTCGCCTTCAACCGCCCAGTCCGGCCCCCCTCCCTGCCACTTTCCCTGCGGGAAGATCACTCCCGTCCCTGAGGCTCGAGCGCTCCGAGACCCGGAGGCCCAGGCGGGCGGCGTGGCCCCTCCTCCCGGGGCCGTTCTTCCCCC